AACACACACACACACACACACACACTCATGAACACACACACACACACTCATGAACACACACACACACACACACTCAACACACACACACACACACACACTCATGAACACACACACACACACTCATAAACACACACACACACACACACACACTCATGAACACACACACACACACACACACACACACACACACACACACACACACACACACACACACACACTCATGAACACACAACACACACACACACACACACACACACACACACACACACACACACACACACACACGCCCTCCATAAATATAAAAACATCCAAATCTCGTCCAGCTGCAGGATCTGGTCAAAAACTCCAAAGAGGATTAGAGTCAGGCGGCGGCGGCGGCAGCGGCGGCGGCGGCGGTACGGGATCAGAACCTCAGAGCGCCATGGAAGATTACAGCAGAGTGTGTGTGTGTGTTGATTTGTTCATGTGTTCATGAGTGAGTGGATGAGTGGATGAGTGGATGAGTGGGTGAGGTTCAGGGCTGTAAAGATGTTTTTATTCTAAAGTTCGTTGACCTCAGAGTTCCTCACTGTCAGTTTTTTCTCTTTTTTTTTTATTCTCTCTGTTTTTGTTATAGTTCCTCACTGACGGTCTGTCCGTCTGTTTTTTCTCTCTTTTTATTCTCTCTGTTTTTGTTATTTTAGAGTTCCTCACTGACGGTCTGTCCGTCTGTTTTTTCTCTCTTTTTATTCTCTCCGTTCTTCGTTTTCTCTCCTCTCAGCTGCTCCTCCAAGTTTCTCTGTAAAAACGTCGGAGATCTTTTTATTTCCTCCAAAAGCAGCGACAGTAAAAACTGTGGTCATAAAGAAGGAGCCGCTTTACTCTGAGTGTTTTATATATATGTGTGTGTGTGTGTGTGTGTGTGTGTGTGTATGTGTGTGTGTGTGTGTTTCTTGCCAATTAGGACTTATTTTGTGGCGCGGGTCGACACCGACAGCCCAGCTAGTTCTACGGCGAGCTGAGGAGGTGGAGCAGAACTCCCCGGGGACGTTTTGGTCCGACTTCAAAGAAACCAAGAAAATTCAGATCAGCGACCCGTCCAGAGTTCTGACCCGAGTCTGACATGACTGAGAACCGTCTCTGCAGAGTTCTGGAGAACCTCCGAGAGGAGAGGAGAGGAGAGGAGAGGAGAGGAGATGAGAGGAGAGGAGAGGAGAGGAGAGGAGAGGAGAGGAGAGGAGAGGAGAGGAGAGGAGAGGAGAGGAGAGGAGAGGAGATGAGAGGAGAGGAGATGAGAGGAGAGGAGATGAGAGGAGAGGAGAGGAGAGGAGAGGAGAGGAGAGGAGATGAGAGGAGAGGAGATGAGAGGAGAGGAGAGGAGAGGAGAGGAGAGGAGAGGAGATGAGAGGAGAGGAGAGGAGATGAGAGAAGAGGAGAGGAGAGGAGAGGAGAGGAAAGGAGAGGAGAGGAGATGAGAGGAGAGGAGATGAGAGAAGAGGAGATGAGAGGAGAGGAGAGGAGAGGAGAGAAGAGGAGATGAGAGGAGAGGAGAGGAGAGGAGAGGAGAGGAGAGGAGATGAGAGGAGAGGAGAGGAAAGGAGAGGAGAGGAGAGGAGAGGAGAGGAGAGGAGAGGAGAGGAGAGGAGAGGAGAGGAAGGAGAGGAAAGGAGAGGAGAGGAGAGGAGAGGAGAGGAGAGGAGATGAGAGGAGAGGAGATGAGATGAGAGGAGAGGAGAGGAGAGGAGAGGAGAGGAGAGGAAAGGAGAGGAGAGGAGAGGAAAGGAGAGGAGAGGAGAGGAGATGAGAGGAGAGGAGAGGAGAGGAGAGGAGAGGAGAGGAGAGGAGAGGAGAGGAGAGGAGATGAGAGGAGAGGAGAGGAGAGGAGAGGAGAGGAGAGGAGAGGAGAGGAGATGAGAGGAGAGGAGAGGAGAGGAGATGAGAGGAGAGGAGAGGAGAGGAGAGGAGCGGAGAGGAGAGGAGAGGAGAGGAGAGGAGATGAGAGGAGATGAGAGGAGAGGAGAGGAGAGGAGATGAGAGGAGAGGAGATGAGAGGAGAGGAGAGGAGAGGAGAGGAGATGAGAGGAGAGGAGAGGAGAGGAGATGAGAGGAGAGGAGAGGAGAAGAAGGAGGAGGTCAAGTGATGATGATGAGTCTGATCCTCTAAGTTTTTACCAACAAATATCTCCAACATCAGGTCACAGAGTCGAAGATCAGGCCGAACTCTTCATGGTGACGACCCTGAACTGCACTTCCTCTGATGACCACTAGAGGCTCTCCTCAAAGTGAACCAACGGGTCATGAAGCCTCATGTTACGATGTTCAACAGCAGAGATAATCACCATGGTTACAGTCTGATACAGGGACAAGCTTCTGATTGGTTAGCTTTCTCAGATCATGTATGATTAGGGGCGTGGCCTCTTTGAGTGACAGCTAGTTCAATCTGAACTGGGCGATAAAAGCTAACGCTGCTATTATGGGGTCGGTCAGGGTCCCTGGTCTGTGCTGGATACTGGTCTGTGGT